CTTTCAACAAAACTCAAATTGAGTTTTCAAATGTGAATAAAGAAAATCAATAAGAGACTCTCCCTTTTAAAACTCCAAAAAATATTTCTCTTTTTTGGAAAATAAGGCAAAGACGGAGTGAAAATTGCGAAAACGAAAAGAAAACGCGTCTTTTGTGATGAAAGTTAATATCAATACATAATAAACGAGTTTGTTATAATTTGAAGATAGATTTCAAAAATTCATATTGGATATTAAAGGACTAATAACAAATAAAAGAAAAACATAAGACAAGCACAGATTTACAGATCGAATAATATTCGTTCAAGTCATTCTCTAGAGAACTATAATCTTGAAATTTATTTTTATACAGAAATTTATCAATATAGAAATATGTAAGGAAATACATATAAGAAAATATCTAAAAAAAGATAATAATATGTTTAAGTGTTTTTAATTTAATGTTACAACAAAATTTTAATAAAAAATTAAATTTTTTTATAAAAAACTAATACCATAAATATACATTTTCAAGTATTATTAAACGTATAGTAAAGTACGTAAACGTAAAGTATTATTATATTTTAATAAGTATTGAATATAATAAAAGAATTTTAGTACAAAGTTCAATAAAAGTCTCTGAATCTATAAATCGAAAAAAATTATATTACTAAAAGATTAATTAAATATTTTATAATAATTGCAGATAAAATTACAATTAAAGAACTTGATGCAATCTATCTTTAACTATGAGTTCCTTTCTAAAGCAAAATCAAGTTGAAATACAATATTGATTGTAATGTGAGTATTAAAAGAGAACCATATAAATATCTGCTCGTAAAAAGATCCATTCCAAAAAGAAGAAAATTTCAACACCACTTCCATGATCTGCAAACGAAGCCTAGTGAAGCAATTGAATTCCATCTTTGCTATTTTAATAAGCTGAAAATTTGAATTATAGTATATTCTAAAACTGTACATTTTGTGAAACCGATATGATTCAATAAAGTGACTATCAGCGACAGCTTCGCGTGCAAAGCACTTTCGAACAAATACTTGACACGAAACATCTTGGTTCAAAAGGAGATAAACATTTATTTAAGAAGAAATTAATAAAATTCGAAATGGATACCATGTTGGAAAAAATGGGAAAACTGAATCTGGTAATGTGTATAGTTAAATACTAAATACTATATTAGAAGTTATTAGAAGACTTTATTATAAAACCGTAAGAGCTTGAATTATTAAGTGCCGTATTATATACTATCAATTAATGTAAATTTGCAACCGATTTACGATTGCAATCGATTTTTGCAATCGATTGCATTTGCAATAGAAGTAACATTACAATTGTGCAACTGAAAAAATAAACAGAGTATTATAATATTTATTGGCATCATTTGATCAATTTATCATATACCATATATTGTACATGAATCTGAATTTTCATGTATTTATATATCTTTATTGTATTTTGTTTTAAGAAATTAAAATGCCATTTGTCATTATTTGAATAAGAAACTTTTTATAAATTAGATTTTTCTCTCT